TCATTAATTATGTTACTTTGGTCATCTATTTCTTTATATACCTTTTAATGCATTTGATCTGTCAGGGCTGAAAGAAATTAATTACACTTTTCTATCTCTATAATGTTCTTGTCTATTTACCCTAATATTCCCATAGGTTTTGATTTGTGAACATTGTTGTCACATTATTTGTTTGTGAAGATATACATTACTGTTTATGAGTTGTTAAGTATTACTGTGTGTCATTTTTCTTCTGTTTAATAATTTTTGGCCTAAAGCCCACCTTCCCTGATATTAAGATCATGCCTCCTGCTCTTTCTGTTTGCTTTTGCCTGTATCTTTGTCCATTTTTTAATTTTTGGCCTTTCTGTATCACTATGAGCAGTGTATTTTTGAGTTAACACACAGGTTAATATTGTCTTGTTATGAAACCCAAGTTTTTTTAAGCAGATGAGTCAAATTCATTTATATTGATTGCCATGATAGATTTATTTGATCTAAGTTTGCTTATATTGTGTTATGTTTTTAATCATTTAAAAAATATTTCATTGTCTGGTATATTTTGCTTGCTTTATTTTTCCTCTGTATGATTCTGAATGTAGAAAAGCTTTTATTTGAGTTCTAGCAGTTGCCTTAAATGATACATGCACAGTTATAATTAGAACTCTGTACGTTGCCCTTAGGATGCTATCTCTTTAAACAGTATCTCTTAATTTCCATTAATTCTTTCCTTTTCCCTCTGTTTTATCCATCATATGATTGTATTTAATAATATCTTTTTCCTGCTTACCTTTGTACTGTTAAATATAATTTTAAACTTCTTTATACATCAACTTTAAAGAATGCACTTTAACTTCTCACTATAATAGAAGCAACAATAAATGTACATCCTCAGCTTCCACGTATTCCCTCCTCCTAGTCCCAATTTTTGCTATTTGTACCCTGTCAGCATTTTCAGGGCCTCCGGGATTTTCGGGGGTAAAATGCCCTGATCCTCATTTTTATCCCTCTCTGCAGGCACTGTTAACAAGCTCTGGTCTGCTGAGTCATTTACCAGTCCTCCACCCACTTTCAGTCTTCTGAGATTGTTTTGACATCTTTTGTCCTCTGTGCTTCCTTTTCTACTTCTCTTTGTTCTTGTATATTCTTATTCCCATGCTGTCATTTCATTGGCATTTTGAGAGGGCTGGGGTGAAATATTCATGCTATCTTCCATATTTAACCAGAATCCCCAAAATAACTCTTACTTTTGAGAGAAAATGCTTTGCATTAAAAGTTTAAAAGGATAGAAATTTTACATGCCATACCATCTCAGCATACATATAGAGAAAATAAACTAAAACACTAACAGCGATTTATCTACCTAGTTGCTATCTTCTGACTTTTGTTTTTCAGTGTTCTGCATTTTATGCAATAGTCACTTACTTTAAAGTTATTTTGTTTTAAAGCTTTTCATTATGATATGTAATACGCATAATGAAAATGAACATGAAATTGAAATTAGTTGTAAAGTGAATGTCTGTGTATTAGTCAGCTCAGGCTGCCATAACAAATACCATAGACTGAGTGGTTACACAACTAATATTTATTTTCTCACAGTTCTAGGGGCAGGTGCTGGCATCATCAGATTCTGGTGAGAGCCCTCTTCCTGGCTTGCTAACGGCAGTTTCTTGCTGTGCCCTTACATGGTGGAGAGAGAGCTCTGGGGTCCATTCTTCCTATAAAGGTACCAGCTCTATTGGATCCTAGCTCTGTCCTTATGACCTCATTTAAGCTAAATTGGCCTGCTTAAAGTCTCCTTCTCCAGTACAGTCACATGAGGTAGGGGTTAGGGCTTCAATACATGAGTTTGGGAGGCCACTATTCAGTCCACAGCAGCTCTGTGACAACTAATCATGTCACTAAATGGTACATTTTGAGCACCCACAAGCCCCTTCCCTCCTCTGCCTTTACAGGTTACTACTATCCTAATTTTTGGTGGTTTTTTTCTTGCCTTTTAAATTTATATTTTTACCTCCTAAGTATGCATCCCTAAACAAAACAGTTGTTTTATTTGTTTTTGAATTTTGTATAAATGGAATCACATTTTTGTAATATTTTGTGTCTGGCTTTTTTTGTTCAATATTATATTCTGAAGATTCATTCCTATGTGGAGATACAGTTTATTCATATTCACTGCTGTAAATGATCCCTTCTTAAGGATTTAACAGAGATATTTAATGTATTCAAAAATATATGAACATTTTGGTTGTTTCTACTTTGGGGCTTTTATAGGGAAGGTGCATGGACTTTCTTGCAGCTATACCGTGGTGCCTATAAGTACATATTTCTGTTGGGTGTATGTATCTAACAGTATAATTAGAGGATCACAGTGTATGTGTGTTTTCACCTTTACTTGATAATATCCACTGCTTTCCAAAAAGGTTGTACAAATTTACATTCCCACCAGAAATATATGAGTTTCTGTGGCTCCATATCTTTCTCAATACTTGATATTGTCACACTTAGAATTTTCCTCATCTGATGAGTATGTAGTAATCTCTCAGTGTGATTTTATTCGCATTTCCTTGATTAAGAAAAAGGTTAAGAATATTTTCATATGTTTATCAACCATGTGGATTTCTACTTTTGTGAAATGCCTATTTAATTTTTTTGCTCATTTTCCAATTGATTGCTCTGACATATTTCTAATTCATTTGCAGGGGGCCATTATTCTGGATATAAACACTTTTTAGGCATATATGTTGCAAATATCTTCTACTCTGTAGCTTTACTTTTTCACTCTCATAAAGTTGTCCTCTGATTAACAGAAATTCTTAATTTTAGCATACTAAGACATATCAGTATTTTCCTCCATGGCTAGTGCTTCTTGTGTCATATGTAATAAATCTTTCCCTAACCTGAGGTCATGAAGACATTCTCCTTCGTTTGTTTGTTTTTTAACCTTCTGAAAACTTTATGTCTTTGTCTTTCACAAAGAAATTTTGATTTTTTTTAATTAAAATTTTTTCTTTAAATTTTGGTGGGAGAGGTAATTAGGTTTATTTTCTTTTAATGGAGGCACTGGGGATTGACTCTAGGACTTCATGCATGCTAAGCACGCACTCTACCACTAAGCTATATCCTCCCGCAGAAATTTAGATCTTAATCCACCTAGCATTGATTCTTGTGTATGGTGTAAAGCTGGATGTTCAATGTAATTTTTCTGTTCGAATTTTTAATTCTTTAGCATCATTTACTGAATACTGCCCTTTCTCGGTTGTTCTGCAATGCCACTTTTGTTGCCAGTTCAAGGTCTGTATGTGCATTGGCCTATTTACGGGCCAACTGCTCTGTTCCACTGGTCTGACGAATCGTATGCCAATGGCACACTGTTTCAATTATTAGAGATTTATAGTAAATCTTGATATCCAGTAGAGCACATTATTTTCTCCCACCTTGTTTTTCTTCCTCAAAACTGTCTTGGTTATAATTTGCTCTTTGCATTTTCATATAAATCTTAGAGTCAGTTTGTCAAGTTATACAAAAAAAAGCCTGTTGGGATCTTGATTGGAATCATATTAAATTTATTAGTCATTTTGGGGAGTCTTACAATATTGTGCCTTTGAATGTAAGAATATAATATATCACTCCATTTTTTGGGTTTTCTTAATTATTTTTATAATTTTCTTTATAGAGATCTTACTCATACTTTGATAATCTTATTTCTAGAAACTTGGTATTTTTAACTGCCAGTGTAAATTGTATTTTTAAAAACGATTTCATTTTCTGTTTGTTGCTAGTATATAGAGATACAATTGATTTATGTATATCAATTTGTACCTAGCTACTTTTCTATACTCTCTTATTAATTCTAATGGTTAATCTCTGGATTATATTGGCCATTTTATGCACACAGTTATAGTATGTGTAAATCGTGGCATCTTTGGTATTTCTTTCCTTATTCTTATACTTGTTATTTCTTCTCCTTGTCTTACTACACTGGCTAAAATCTCCTTTACAAAGTTGAATAGAACTGATGAAACAGACATCTTTTCCTTTTTCCCCCGTCTAATCTCAGAGAGAAAGTTTACCATGTTTCACAATTAAATATGATGTTTGCTCCTTTCTTCAAGTGGTTACCCTTTATAATACTATAGCAATTCCCTTTTATTCCTACTTTTCTAAGAGTTTTTAATCACAAACAGGTATCAAACTTTATGAAATGATTTTTCAGCATCAAGATGGCCACTTGATATTTCTTCTTTAACTGATTAATAGAAATAGAACATATTTCCTATTGTAGCATGTATTAATATAGTCAGAAAAAGATAAAAATAAAGAAGTTGGAAAAAGAGAAAGGTCTACAGAACACCAAAAA